CGTTGATATAAAATATATTAGGCGGGCATTATATAGATACTATATTGCCGGTAAAACTACTACAGATCTACTTATTCCCTACAAGAAATTAGTGACGCCATTTAATTTTTTTCATCTATTTAGAATCATTTGTACAAAAGAATGTGTAAACTGATTCACTTTCTGAAATTTTGATGAGTCGGTAACGTCGTGACTGGCTTTACACTATCTTGTATAATTAATGAAGATCGGCGATACCAGTTTCAAAACTGTGTGAGTCAGCACATGAACATGATATCGACCAATCACTTACGCTTGCTTTTCAGTTGCAATAAACACCCACACATAGGCGTCGAGTACGCATTGCACATATAGAAAATCTCGAGCGCACACTTATTGTGTATACAAACGCTCGACCTTGATTAGAGTTTCAATGAAGTTGTGGACGCCTATAAATTAAAACAGCTTCGCCGCTCTCTAATAATTAATATAATCTGTACAAAAAAAAATAAACTTTTTTCTTAAGTAGACTTATTAGAGAGAGTTTACTTGAATTTTTATACTTTCTCATTTTTTTACAAATAATAGCAGAGGGTATTTTCAAATATTAATGGAAGAAATGTTTTGTCTTACGGATTATTTTCAGAAACGGATCATTAAATTTCCCTGAATTTATGGAAATTCCATTTACTTTATGATGTCAAAATCAATACTGTTTTCCCCACTGAAAAGTCTTCTCACACCAAAAAATATTAAACAGATCTTTATGAAAAAAACGGTGCGTTAAGCTTGCGGCATTATTGAGGTTCAGAGGCGAAAATACTGTTTGTGTAAATAACTTTAGGCTTTTTTTTTAGTTTTTAGATGAAAGGAAACGACGTCTTTTATGCCGGCGAGTCAAAAAAGTGTAATATAAAATATTTTTCCGCAGTTAATGGCGTGGGTGTTTGTTAATACTCATTGGATTTTTGTCTGTCCACAGTTTCAATATTAATAATTAATATTAAAAAAATATGTAGGTGTAATTATCGAAAGCAACTTTTTGCCCCAAAAATCTGCCTTCTAAATAAGCATAATGCACTGTTTCAGCATGACTCAATTTTGCTTAAGATAATACACATAGGTGGGTGTAGGGTGAGAAAAGTTAGGCTTTAAGACCGCCTGAAAAAATGATTTCCTGCCAATCTCAGCAGGATGGCACACGCGACGTCGAACTCCCGAAAAACCCGTGCAATTAAATCAATTACGTAGCCATTTTGAAGCGAGTTCCCTCGCTGGTGCTAATGTAGTTTATAAGTAAGAAGGATTAAAAGTCCGATGGCACGCTAGCGTGGCCGGCCATCACGCACGAAGACATCACGCACAAAGTTGTGCTTTCCTATCACGCTCTGGCCGCCGCGTGCCTGATTGATCTGAGTGTGCCGTGCATGTCGTGACGTCATATCAATCTCTGTGAGGTGTGATGCCGCCCTCGAATATCTTACTCTCTCCTCCACAAATAAAACTCATATTACTTTCATAATTTATAGCCTCTTCACATGAGATTCTCGGTGATCTATGACGGTTCCTGGGAAGCATGTCTTTTTAGTAAACTCGGTTTTATTATAGAAATAAATCCAGGGGCTGCTCAAACTGCCTGTGTTCGGTTTTATGCAAAACAAACATAACGTCACTTTATCGTATTTCCACGCTGAAATTGATACGCTTCAAGGTTGGAGTCTGCCGAGGAGATTTGGAAAGTTTCAATCAAAGCGGAGGCGCATTTGTCAAAGACACATGGAAATATTCAGGTGGAGAGTTATTCACATGAACCAAACCCCGTGCGTTGCTATATTTTTTAAAAGGTTGGATTCTGTTGTGGAAAATGTGCATTCTGGTATTCTGCAAATTATCAAACACAATTAAACCTAAAATTTGTTTTAAAAGTAAAAAAAAAAATTGGTCGAAGATTACTTCGACAGAACTTCCTCGACCATAAAGTACAGCTTGTCAAATCCAGCTCTTTCGAAAAATTAAAAGATTTGATTTTGCGAATTTTATTGTTTTTTATGGCAACCATTATATAAAAAAGAAAAGATTTTTCAGTCTCGAATAACTATGCTACAATAAAATGTTTATATTTTTTTTAATTTGGAATTTGTGGAACGGGTGTTTAATAGCGGAAGCCAAATTCTGCTACCAAGAAGAAATAATTTAGATGACAATACGTTCGAAATGTTGTTAATTTTAAAAAATGTATTAAACAATACATAATAAAATACATAAACATGTTTTCAGTTATTTTATTCTCCAAAGCTTCAAAAAGTATCTGTTTTCTTGTATCTGTATCTAGATACATTTCGAACAAATCGAAAACAATCTGTATCTAGATATTTTTATCTTCCATATATCTATATCTGTATCTAGATACTTTTAAAAGTATCTGTCCCCAACACTGGTAATAACAGAGGTGCGACTGAAGACTGAACTGAAAATCATTTATGGTACTTGTAATAAAGACAAATAGCGATCACACATCAATTTGTAGACGTGAAAGTGAAATAAATATATAAATAAACTAAAAGATGTTTTCTACCAATTGGTATAATCGGATCACAATGCCGACGGTTTAGACTTTTTTATTGCTCTGACTTCCGCTTATTGAATAAAACTCTACATTTTATTTTGATTTTCGATGTTGTAATTCACATCTGGTTAATTATAACTTATCTAGATCTAGGAGGCTCAGCATCCCTTAGCCTCCCCCTAACTACGGCCTTGTCTAGGGTGGCACTCCATTACTGTGCGTCCTTAAGTTATCCTCGATAAGAAAAACAACTTGAAAGTGTTTATGTTTATACATCGGAAGAATGTCACGTAGAAATTAGTTTGATTTGAATGAGTTCGTCCCCTAAAAACACAAGATGAAAACTATTAAGTAGTAAGCTACAATCGACAAAATGCTCTGAATATCATTATTATAATTCTTATTAAATAAAGACGTTTATATTTTCAAATTTTCGGGAAAATGGGGTGACTCATTCCTAATTTGATCAATAAAAAATATGAATGCAGTGAATAATTACAAGTAAAAACTAATCATATTTTGTACATTTTGGGTAGAATTTATTGGCCAAAATTTTGAGATAACGTCATCAATTTTTTGGGGGGAATAACATATTTGTTTTGATTAACAATTTACCATGCTTACAATGAATTTAAAACGTCTGCAAGATTTCAAAGCATTCAGTTTTGCAATTCTTGAGTTATTCAATAAAATAAATTGACTGATTTTTTTTTTTTTTTGAGTCAGCCTGTATAAGCAAATATAAAATATATAAATCCAATGATAAATTACAAGTCTAGACTGATTAAATTTTTCACATTTTAGATACGATTTATTAGGCAAAATTTTGAGATAACGTCATCAATTTTTTGGAGAGGATCAGTAAATATATTTTGATTAAAAATTTATCATGAATATCATAAGCTTAAAACATCTGCAAGATTTCAAAGCATTCGGTTTTGTAGAGTCAAAATTAAATTACAAAATGTTGTTTTATAATTTTGATTTTTCTTCCAAAAATCTGGACGTTTAGACTAAAAATTCAACACGGAGTCATAAACTTCCGGAGATTATCTGTCTATTAAAAATGCGTGACGGCAGACAGACAGACGGACAGATAGACAGACGGACAGACAGACAGACGGACAGACAGACAGACAGACAGACAGACAGAAAGACGGACAGACAGACAGACAGACAGACGGACGGACAGACGGACGGACCCATAGACAGAAGGAAAAGGGAGACCTGTTTCTTCGTACTCCAGGGCTCATGAAATTACAATACTTCCTTAGCTGATGCTCGGGAAGTAAAAATGGTCGAAGGTTATTTCGACACCTCTATAAAGTAAAAAAATGGCGTAATTAAAATCACCGCAGGAGTCTGTGCAAGTGTGTTCTTTTATGTAACTTTAAAGCAGATAAACAAGGGGAAAAATGTGGATATTCTAGTTTCTTAGTACATGCTTAACTTCAACTGTTTATGTTTATATTTCGAAGGAATTCCACTACTGGCACGCTCAGATTAGAAGCGTCACCGGATAAGAGCAAATTTAATTGGTTAATTAATTAACCACACTCAGTTCTTTTCACAAACACACTCATAAATGGCGGCAAATTTGTAAGATGCCGGACAAATTGTGATTACCATGCTTTCAGTAATCTTAAAATATTTGCAAGATATCACAGCATTCTATTTTCGGAGTTTCAAAGTCAAATTTTAAAATGGTGTTATACAATTTTAAAAATCTGTATGCGTAGGGTAAACACTCGACACGGACGCAGAAGTATGTAATTCTATCATATTTAAAGAACTTCGGCAAAATTTCAAAATGGTGACATCACTTTGAGGATGACGTCATCTTAATCTTGATGGGGATGATTAGTAAAATTTTGGTTACCGTTTTACCATCTGCACGATATTGCTAATACACATATACAATTTGAAAATAATCAGTCCAATAGTTTCGGAGATTATCTGTCTAATAAACATACGGACGGACGACAGACAGAGAGACGGAAACGGGATACCTATTTTTTTGTACTCGAGGAATCATGAAACGTCGACAAAACATAAAAGTAGCGAGTCGTCCACATGACTCGATTACAATACTTCCTTAGCTTAGGCACAAGACGTAATTAATGACAGTCTAATGCTTATTAAATACATATATTGAATTAATTTTCTGATCCAAAAATTTTATGAAATGGGAGAACAATTTTAGGATGACGGAGTAGAATTGGTTTCTAACAACGTTACTCATTACGCTTTCATTAAGCAAAGTTTGTGAAATTAAACCAGTTGTCTTAATAACAAACTATACAGGGGAAAACTTTTCATTATTATATACCTATTTTTAGTAACACTTCGGAGTAGGAAACTTCTAGAATATTTTTAAAGCTTATAAGATGTTCTAATATTAATACATAACGTAATAAGTTTGTAGAATTTCATTCTAAATTCTTTCTCTTTTCAGGTACAGCAACTGGTTTCCTTTCCTGTAAGTAAGTACATCCATTATTTTATTTTCAATAATTCATGATACAAAGCTAACAAAAACATTATTCTCGTTAAAGCAATTTAAGACAAATTATTTCTGAAAGAAATATTAATGTTTAGTATATTGAATAAAAGGGATTAAACACGTTTTTTGTTCCCGAGAGAATGGTTTAAAACCCGAGGCTTTAAAATTCTTGACGGACCAAAAAACAGTTTACTCCCGTGTTACTAATACTATTTTTTCTAATGAAAGGACCAAGACAGACAATACTACTGCTAAACCAATTACTTTTAATAATTTCAAAAACAATCATTTAAAATATATATATCTCTTAGTGAGATAAAAATAAGAGAACCGGACTTACTGGTTTGAAAAGGTAAACATGGGGGCTACATTTCCTGAAAGTTTAAAATTTGTATTTTTTTCTCAACATATTTCAGGGGCTATTTTTGAAAGTTTACAATTTTTAAGCATTTTTCCCCCCAAAAAAATGGTGATCTAGGCACTTAAAACTTCCTTTACATTTTATGGTTGAAAACAATATAATAATACTTCTTAAGCAGTAAAATAAAATTATCAAAGAAAAGAAAAACGCGAGAATATGTCTGGAGATCTTTTTATTTTAGAGGGTGTCTCAAAAGCCGGAGTGAACCGGAAAAATCGAAATCTGTGTTTTTGTAAGTAGAGAATCAAGTTCGAGTTATTAGTGAATCATTATTTTAATATACCATTAATGAAAACGTGAATGATTTTCGATTGTGTCTACTCAATTTTGACAGTTGGGGGACTAAAACCCAAATCAAGACAGCATATGCTTTGGTGTGCATCAGTTAAAAAAACAATTTCAGGTCAGTTTATATCAATATGTATTCAATCTAGAGACCAAAAATGACTAATATTTGCCTACTTACTGTAAACTGACAATGTTCGTAAAACCCATGAAAATTTCGTTTCCCTAATTACAGCGCAAGAACTGAACACGAAATTACCGAGGCAAACTGTACACAGTTATAATAAGTGCGGCTATGCAATAGAGAATCCAGTAAATCTCGCCCCTAATTGAATCCGAAAAAACAGAAAATTATATCATTTTCTTTTCCCTAAAAAGGCAGCTATTACCAGGCAAACGATTATTCCAGCTTAAATTCAGCTGCGAAAAACATAAATAAATGGAAATAAATTCCTGCAGTGGAAGGAAACGCTTTTCCTTACATCAATTACGAGCGGCGCTGAAGTCGTCATAAACAAAAATTTACCCGAGATCTTTCTAATTGGATACGACTCCGGTTTCTTGTTATAAATTGCAAGAAAATCAGACGCAGACATCTCGAACACTATTTACAATTTTGATTGCATCATTAACCTCGCTCTACAGTAAAACATCGCAGCATGGCTGAACTAACTAAAACACGCCTTATCTGAAATCATGTTCCAGTCATTTTTTGATTAAATACTCGAATCGAGCGACGGAGCTGATAAGAAACCGGAAGAAAAGCTTTAAGCCGACTTCAGGAAGCTCAGCGAGATACAGTGGGTGGAGAAGTGTGGTGGTTTATCTGAGTTAATTGAAACAACGGCCTTACGACAGGGCATGCAGGGGTTCTAAACAAATAAACGAAAACGTTGAACTTTCTTTATATACTACACTTGATGCTCCACTTCCAATGAAAATCTCACTCTCGGGCTGAGAATTCAGACTAACATGAAGAAGCTTCTGTTAAGCCCCGGTGTGGTTTCTCTGTTTACAAACGAGCTACTTCTAAACAAATATTTTCAAAATGTGCGATTTTTTTAAACACCGTTTTAAATATTCTAGAAACTTGAAGTATTTAAACTTAAAAATGTATTGCAAGTATTCAGCTTTTGAGGACCGCTGGGACAGTCGTCCAATCACTCTCCAAGAACACGCCATTTCTTGTCGTTTTAATTGAGGTACATTCAATTATCTGGCCCATTGTTGTTCTGATTGTGCCCTTATCGCCGCATGATTAAAAAAGTTCGGGATTCCCCCATGTAATGAACGCCATAAATTTCGTGGGGAAATTGCAATAAAATTAAAAAACCCTGCCGGATCCCTTTTAAAGCCGAAAAATTTGCAAGGTAAGCTTGGCGAACTACATTATGCAGCCAATAACCTCGATCCGAAACCGAGCGTGGCAATTTTATTTTAAAGATTCAAACTAGGTAGGACCATATTTCGAGTACGATTCAGCTGTAAATTCCGATCAGGCGCCCAAAGGGAATCGAATTCACCCTCGCTTAGCGCAAATCTTTATTATCGGCACTGTTCCTAACTCAAATATCTTATTGTTGGATTTGCGACTTCATGATTCACTTTGTTTACCGCATTTACTCCAGCGCAAGTTTTACGGAAATCGACGCTGATCCTCTTTTAAATAAACAACAATACGATCTTTGTTCTCTCGGAAGTTTTATCTACGGTGTCTCGGTGTGACTGTTAAGGAGACAGTTGCTGCATTTCAGTGTTTGGAAGAAAAGAACAAATATTCCTGTTTAAAGAAAATGGTAGAATATATAAAAGTATTAGGATTCTAGCGTCTAGCACGATTTAGAGAATTTAGGTTAGCTGTTAAAAGCTAATATATTGGCGATGCAGTAAATGCTAAGTTGACAAGTTGAGTAGTGGATAAAAATAGTTAAACTAGAACTGTATACCGGGCATTTTTTTTTAAACTGAACATAGGGCTATGTTCAGTTTTAAAACGACGCTGTCAATTCAGGAACATTGTTGGTTGCATAACCACGAGAAATCGTTTGAGTAAAGCAGAGCTTTTTCACCGAAACTACAGCGTGTTATGCACATGTTCAACAATAAACAAAACCATAAATACGACAAAAATTTTATAAAACAAAAACTAAATTTTATAACAAATATTCGAAATGACCGCCTCCCTGTTCCAAGCAATAACCAAGTCTGTGATGGAATCCTTGCACTGCATTTCGTACGAAATTTGGATTCAACTCTTGGCAAGCTCTGACTATTCGTTCCTGTAACTCCTGAATTGTTTGAATTTCTACGTGATCATAAATTGTATTATGTAGGTGTCCCCAGAGAAAAAAATCATTTGGCGAAAGATCTGGTGATCGTGCAGGCCAAGCTACAGGACCAAATCTCCCTATCCAACGTTCACCAAATACATCATTTAAATAATTCGTAACTATTCTACACGAATGTGCTGGTGCACCATCCATCTGGAACCAAATATTCTCAATATTTAGTGGTTCAATTTCAGGAATAATATGGTTCCTTAAAAGTCTAAGACATTTATTTGCATTTAAATTGCCATCAATAAAATATGGTCCAATGAGCCTATTGTTTATTAAGCCAGCCCACACATTTAGTATTTCTTGTACTTGATGGCGAATTAAATTTTGCACATGAGGATTTGTGCGGGCCCACTATCTGTAATAAGAACATTTTGGCATAAATAGCATTGAATAATAAAATTGCAGAAAATCTAACCGATAATTTTGTGAATTAACTTCGCCATTCCTACTAAATGATGCCTCATCTGTAAACATAATGTTTTCTAAAAGTTGTTCATTAGTGTTCAGTGAATTAAACATCAATTCACAAAAATCCGTCCTCCTAATTTTATCCTCTTCAGTGAGGTATTGATGATTCCTAAATTTATATGGTTTAAATCGACATTCCTTCAAAACTTCTCGAATTGAGAATCTGGAAATACCGAAGTAGTTACTCATTTGCGTTATGGTGGATATTGGTTCCTCTTCAGCGTAGCATAATACGTTTAATTTCATCTCTTCGGTTAAAATGTGACATCTATTTCTTTGATGATGGCTATTGACGACACATCCTCTTGCATTAAAATTTTTAATTATGTTCCAAATTGTTCCGAGAGACGGAATTGGCCTAGTAGGGTACTGTATGGAAAATAAATCCCTTACAATTCGCATGCTACTACCAGCTTGGTACCATTGCAGTATTTGAATTTTTTCTTCTGTCGAATACATTGTGTGCAAGCAGTTTTGACATTTTAGAAAACATTTCAAAGCATTCTATTTGATTCTACTTTTTTAAACGATGGAGTTGTTGTAATGTTGGTTGCATTACAGTTGCAATTGACTGCGTCGTTTTAAAACTGAACATAGGGATATGTTCAGTTTTAAAAAAAATGCCCGGTATATTATATGTAGTTGGAAGATGCTAATACAAGTTTGCAGTCATTTCCATAGAACCCTCCTGGAATTTAAGCACCAGAAATATTGCAGCCATGCCAGTATATACGTTTGATAATAATGTAATTAATTCTTTTTTATAAAAAAAATATCGGATTTTGATAAGTATCATGAAAGACTAAGGGGCCAATTCCAAGTTGGTGGCGCAAGTCACTGGTGCAGCGCAACTTTATAATGCTAATTTGGGTATCAAATGCTGGTTGCTAGGGGTGACGGAATCAACAAACGCAGTTGTGTCGAATTTTCCATTGAAATTTGCACCATGGAGTTGCGGCACCTCTAGTAGGCAGTGCAAGTTGGCGCAATTTATCTCGAAAAATTGCGCTTGTTTATTCCGTCACCCCTAGCAACCAGCATTTGATACCCAAATTAGCATTATAAAGTTGCGCTGCACCAGTGACTTGCGCCACCAACTTGGAATTGACCCCTAAGTGTTCTAATCCTTGTTCTGCTGCTTTGTCGAAGTTACAAAGGTTCAAGTTCCTGGGCTTGTTTTTTCTGTTTCTGTTTTTACCGCATCTCATTTGTTATTTCCTTCTCTTATTCATTCTTGTTTTTCACCATTCACAGATGAACGAACTAACTTATCATGTTCCTTTTTAACTGTCGTTTCAAAACTGTTTTAAACTTCTGTTGCTAAATCTTAGGTTTATCCGTAGACAATTTTTTCACCTAATGTCTACTCTTTCTTCCCAAATTATGACGAGTTGGATACTTTTTTATAGTCTTTACTTTCGTCTTAGAAAACTCTTGACCAAGCGATGAAAGGTTCATTATTTTGAT